CAGTTAAATTGTTATTCATATATGAATAAGTAGTATAAATGATACTTTAAACTGTAAAAAAAAATAAATTATATATTTTATATAAGTGAATAACGAATGTACTCTAGCAAAAATCTGATGCATTTTTATTCATTTATGAATAACGATAGCTGAAAATATAAATATATATATATATATATCTATATATATATATATATATATATTATTTGAAAAGTATATCAATATGGATGTCTATTTGTAGAGAATAAAAAATCATGAATTTTGGTAATTAAAATCATTTTTTCGATAAAATAGCTTCTTAAAAAATTAATAAAACGAAACAAAAACTTGTTTTTTATATATTAAGGTAATGATGCATGGTTTAAGGAAACATGTTTTGTTGGAAACACATGTGTATTCCTTATCAATTTTCGCTGGTACAACGGAGGCTTTGCGGCAAAAATAAATGAGTGGCTAAGAATGTTTCTCCCATTCTCAACCTTTTTTATTTTCTCATTGAACTTACCTATATATATAATATCTAATATATCTATATATATTATTCTTTTTTTTTTCTTTTTTTTTGAAACGGCAAACGAATTAAGTGGAGCCTACTCGCAATATTTCAACGAGCACCCCGGGTTCGAGCTCCTTTACAGGGCAAACCCAGCCCCCATAGGGATTTCCAGGGAAAAATTCCCCACATGTGGCACCACAAGAGGTAGTTTAAGGGAATAGAACTCTCGACCTCACGCCCCACATGGGTATAAAACCCGGTGCATCAACCCAGCTAGGCTGTATATATATAAGGGATGGTTCATGTGAGAACAAGGATTATTGTGAGAACGTGAGAACGTCTATCAGCCATTAGATCAAAATAGTATATGGTCTTGATTTCTCTTATAATTTAGGTAACTTCTTAATTAAAAATAATTAAAAATACTATTTATATAAGAATAAGGGTAAAATGGTACAATAACAAAAATATAAATATGGAAATATTATTAGTTACCTATTTTTAAGGTATTTTAATGAAACTTTCAAATTCAAAATTTATGACAAAAAATGAAATTGAAAAAAAATATAAATTTTAAAATTTTGATATAATTTGAATTTTCAAATATAAAAATCATTACTAAAAAAATGATATTTTTTATTTTAGAATTCAAAAAATTTAAAATTCTGATATGAATATTAAACTTGTGCAAAATTCGTTTATGAATATGAAACTTGTGATATGAATATTAAACTTATGATAGACACACATAAAGTCTTTATTGTTATAAACCTAAATATTCATGACAGAATATGAATATATACAACTTTAATAAAGAAAAACATGAATGTTTATGACAGAATGTAAAAACATACAAATTTTATAGATAAAAACATAAATATTCATTGTCAAATTGACACACATACAATTTTCATGGAGGAAAACATAAATATTGATGACAAATATACACACATACAATATTCATGACAGAATATGTACACATATACAATATTCATGACAGAATATATTCATGTAGTCTATCGGATGCTTATCCATAAAAGGAAAAAAAATCATATTATTCTATGAATATACAAAAGGTGGTGTTGGTCTTGCTCTTGTATTAACACCAATTGTAGCGTTGGATGTATGGTGGTGGTGGTGGTGGTGGCGATGCAGTATTTCGATAAAAGGGTCTGCTGCTGGATCATTATTCACTCTAGTAGTTAAAAAGCCATCAGCTGTCAAACAAGAATCAATTTAAACTAAATTAATCATGAGTCAATTTTATAAAATAAATTCATAACAAAATAAACACATATCTAATAATATGTATGTAGAGATAGATTGTAGTGACAAAAATTCTTAATTGAATAACAATATGACAGCAAGCTTTTTAAATAACATTGTTTTATCTAAAATACATTTTCATTCAAAATAAAGAAAAAAAGGAAAACAGAGAGAGGGTGAGTATAACCAAAACATTCTTAATGTATGTACAGAAAAAAGTTAACAGGAAATGCACCATCTTTACTCAGGCAATAGATCAAACACTTGGTGGTCATTAAAAAAGATTCAGTTAATCAGTAAATGAAAGCAATACTCTTACCGTTCGTGGAGAAAGAGAATCGTCTTCAATTGTGTACAAAGAAAACAATAAACATATCACATGAATTAAAGCCAATCAAGAAAAGATAAAAAAAAAACATGCTTTCTCTAAAATAATCTAAAAACTATTAGAGTACAAATATAATGAAATCCACATCATATTCTGCAAATTAGACAGCCATATATCCTTTATGGAACAAATTGATCACAGATGGATTACATTAAAAGTGAAATCATCTTTTCTATAAAAATATTAAAACTCAATAGGACTTGATCTTTTTTCGAGGTTCTCCATCACCACTGAATCATCATTTTATTTTGGGTTCACTAATGTACTTAAGTAATTGTAATCAAGGTTGGAAATTGGAGCGATAGAGGAGATGAGAGACATGGAATTGGAAATCAGGAGATAAGATATAATATAATTGCTATTTTTTCTGACCTTGTCATCTTCACCGCCTAAAGAAAGTAAAAAGCGCAACCCTTGGACTTATAAACATCATATGCGTCGGAGTTGTGAAATCGGTAATCAACAACCACCGTTCCTCTCGATTCTGATTTCAAGACAGTAGAAGTGGAAGTAAATAGTTTGCTACAGATAAATATAAAACTATTTCCACTGATGGCGAGGGAGAGGGAGGAAGAGAAGAAGACGGTGGGTGGGTGTGATATGGCAGCTAAAAAAAGAGAGTATAGGGTTTTAAATAATCAAAATTTAAAACTGCTTCCTTAATAATAGGAATCGAAAATTATTGTTTATATTTAATGCAAGGTTAAAATACCACAAGTGCCTTTTTATTCTTTTTATTTTTATAAAATTAATTATATAAAACGATTGGTTGAGAAGTGTTCTTACGTTCTCACAATAACTTTTGTTTTCATATGAACCTACTTCTCTCTCTCTCTCTCTATATATATATATATATATATATATATATATATATATATATATATATATATAGGGGATAGGGAATATACATTACAGCCCCACCTAAGCTTAGGTACTAAACTGTAACATACACGTTTTGAAATCGTGTATTGTAAATTATAAAAGAGAATAATATTATGAAATATTATGTGAAATTGAGTGTTGAGTTCTAACGGATAGTTTTTACTAGAATTGAAGTAAAACTATGTTTAGAATCACTCAGAAAATATTGGAAGTCTTATGAGATTCCAATTAAAAGCCGAATAGTGAAATTTAGCGAAAATATAAAATTTGAAATAAGTAAAATTTTATTATTGAAAGTTGTAGATAATCTCGTTAGAAACATGTAGGCGAAAACCTCGTCGAAATCCGAGTTATAACGAAGAAGTTATGACCAATCGAAGATCCGCGACAAAACCGGCACGGCGCCGAATGACGTAAAAAGTGAGTTTTTGATAAATTACTTTTTAGCCTTGGTGATCTAAACGAAAGTCGTAGTACTTGTTAAACCGAGAATTTTCATAAAAAGAACGCCCAAATCTGAATTCATATGAGGAAATTTTGATTTTTCTAAGTTTCAGCTTAGCAGTAGACAGCTAAAAACTCGAATTTTAGATCGAATGATTTTTAGCCGACACAACCTAAACGAGAATTGAAGGTCTCGTCAATAGTAGTACAACGGTAAAAAGACAGACGAAAACGGACATTGGATGAAGAAGTTATGAATTTTTAACGGATTTTCCTGTCCCAGTCTGTTAAAAATAATAATATTAAAAATATATTCAAAATTAGCCAACGAAGTCTAAACGAAAGTTGTAGAGCATGATTTTACCTACGTGTGCATATAAAGAACGTCAAAAATGGAGCTCGTATGCGAAAGTTATGAATTTTAGAAGTTTGGTGTTCAATTTCCAAGAAAATTCGCATGGATAAGCTTCATCCGGACCAGCCACGTCACCCTCGCTCCGAGCTGGCCACGTATCCGAAGCAGCTGCGTCATCCGAGTCGTGGCGCGTCCGAGGAGCGACGCGTGTCGCACAGGTGTCCGAGCAGCCGATGACGCGTCCGAAACCGATGACTCCTCGCATCCGAAGCTCGCTCCAGCTGCCGCGTGTTCTTCCTTCGGATCTGACCCTCGTAGCTATAAATAGTGGCTGCGAGATCTCCCGGGTAAACTTTGGATTTTGCCATTTTTCACCCCTTTTTCAATATTTTCACTATTTTGACATTCCCCGAAGCCCCGGTATCAATTTTAGCACCCGAAACACGTCCCGAAGTGCCCGGAGACCCCGACAAATTTATCTTTTCAGTTTGAAGCCCAACCCTTGCAGGGCCCGGTTCTCAAGAAAACTCCCCGTTTTCAACGAAGAAAGCTAATTATAATAACGAAGTGTTGCCCAAATTACTATTTTAACCCCCGGTTATTTCACGGTGAGTTTAATATATAGGAACAATTGTATGTTATGTGTTACATGTGCTATGTGCTTTTCAGTGTTATTATTCCGGGTTATTTTCCCGTGTTATTTTTATTCGCTATTTTTAATAGCAAAGTAATACCTTTGACCATGTGAACAGTGAAAGGACTTAGATTCACATTGGTACTGGTATGTAGCCTCTGGCCATGTAGAACATGTCTCCGTAAGAGAATGACTTCTATTCTATGCAAGGTTGCAGAAAACGCTAGACGTTAGCTAGGCGGTGGACTGGGGTTTAGGGATTAATCGGTTAGACGGGAATTAATCGGGGGATTAATCGGGGACCATTAATTATTAGAAAAATAATTCAAAAAATTATAAATCTAATTTTAATACTAAGAATATAAATAAATAAGCATAAAAGTTTAATAATAACTTAATAAGTTTAACAAGTACAACCATTTATCATCCAAAATAAACATAAAAGTTTAATAATAAGTTTAACAAGCACACTAAATCATATCCAACAAGTCCATAAAAGTTTAAAATAAGTTTTAACAAGCACAACAATTTTCTTCTAATCTTCACCACGTACTTCCATTATTTGAACCCCATCCGACTCATATTCGTCTTCTTCTAACACTTGATCCTCACTCTCGGACTCGAAATCTTCATCAAAAAGTTCCCTCGTTTTTGGACTTTCTCGGGGTGCTTGACTAACATCGGTTTCAAGAGTTTCATCAACCGTTTTGGGGTCTACTTCATCTACATCACAATCATCGCAATCAACAATCCATTCTTGAGCGGAGAGAGAATGATTTGATAATAGCACTTCCATGTTTCTATCTTTTCTCTTTTTATTTTTCTCCATTAAATTAGCATTGAATTGAACATAAACAAGATTGTTCAATTTGCTTGTCTCCAATCTATTTAGTTTCTTTGTATGTACCTACAAATTTAAACACAACAAAGAGTTTAAACATGCTTAATATTTAAATTTTATAAAATATAAATTTAATGTTTTATATTACTAACCCCTTCAAACGTGCTCCAATTCCTTTCACCACCCGATGAACTACTAGTTAAAGAAAGAATCCTCATTGCAATCTTTGTCAAATGAGGAGTTGTGCCACCAAATAGTCCCTACCAACTAGCTATGATTTTGAAACAAAAACACATTATTAATCGATAAATATCAAAATTTTATAAAATAGATAAATAGATAACTAAAAGGAAAACGAATTACCCGGATCAAAGTCGGCATCATTCACCTTACAATGTTTAATTGCAAGATCGGAACCAAATCTATCAACCTTTTTCTTGTACTTTGGCAAGTCAATAGTTACGACTTGCCTTTGCATCTCTAAATCTCCAAGAAATAATGTATCAAAAAAATCAAGAACCGCATCCATTACATCGGTATCAAATTGGAGTTATGCATCATTATAATGGTAATACGGATTCAAAAGATAAGATGTCAAATGTAAAGTTGAATCTAGTCGACCTTTCATTTTTGTGTTTATGATATCTATAATAGGCTTGTAGTGTTTCTCGTTACCACCCAAAGATTTGATAATTTCTTCTTTTGCAACTTTAATCTCCCCGTAAACAAAACCCATTGAGGGCTTCCAATCAGCATCAACCATTCGAAGGACTTTCACCAAAGGAGAGAACACTTTTAAACATTGTGTCACACCGGACCAAAATTGGACACTTGTCACCGTTTTATATGAGGCAATCCCTTTAGGCTTACCGGAAAATTTACATTCCTCCCATTCGTTGCTAGAGAACATATGTCTTAGTTGCTCCTTTTTTTCGGACAAACTTTGTAATGTTAGAAAGGCGGAAGCAAATCTCGTGACTCCCGGTCGGATAATTTCCCTTTTGTTGGTGTAACTTCTCATCCTCGCCAAGGTTTTGTGGTGAGCGTAAATGAATATGGTTAGTTTCTTTGCTTGATCTAGGATTTTCTTAAACCTTGGGAGTGCTCCGATACCTTGAAAAATAAACACGATTAAATAACAAATTATAATATATAATTAAACATTTTTAAACTACATAAAGTACTAAACAAATAAAATAATAAATACAATAAATAAATAAAATAATGTAAATACCTTCAAGCATGAGGTTAATGGTATGTGTTGCACATGATGTCCAAAAAATAGATGGACTTTTCTCTTTTAGCAACTTCGTTGCCCCCATGTTATTTGTGGCATTATCGGTCACAACTTGAACAACATTCTCGGGACCAACTTGTTGAATACAAGATTCCACATACTCATATATGTGTTGGCTTGTATGTGCTTCACCGGAACATTCTTTTGAAGATAAAAAACGGTACCCATCTTCGAATTAACACATAAATTCATAATGCTTCTCCTCTTTCGATCGGACCAAGCATCCGTCATAATCGAGCATCCATCCTCTTTCCATTCTTTTTCGTTTTTTTTCAACAAATTTTTTGTTCTTTCAACTTCAAGCTTTAGAAGTGGGTCACTCAAAGCATATCTAGTAGGACATGGAAGCCCGGTTCCAAATTGGCCAATAACCTCCAACATCATTTTGAAGCTATCCCTTTCAAATGCATGAAAAGGAATCGCACTCTCATATGCCCACCTACTAATAAATTTATGGACCGCTAATATTCTTTCTTTCCGGACAATGTTGTTAAGATCAATATTTTTGCCCTTTCCCGCCTTCACAACTTCTTCGGGGTTTATTATGTTTGTGAAGTTATCCATGAGGCCTATAACATTTGGAGCCTTCGACCCCAAAGAATTTTCTACTTCATCCACGCTATCATGCAATTCTTGTCTCGCCTCTACCCTTAAGTCTTCAATATGAACTTTTTTAGCTTTCTTTTTCAACTTCCCTTCGTTAAGATAATTTAGACATTTCAATTGATCATCTTTTGTAGATTTTGGACATGAAGATACATTCCCCGTCACATGAGCAATATGTTGTTTCATCCTATAAATCCCCCCACCAAACACTTTTCCACACAAGGTACATTTCAATCTATCCATGTTGCTTTTATCCGGGATGACAGCATATTCCCAACCAACATCATCTGAATTACGTTTATGTGCACCAATGGCGGTTGATCCAACAGATGTAGTAGATGCATTAGATGTCATTGATTGTCAACTGTTATAAAAAAAATACATTAACACATTTATTCAAGTTATGATAATCTCTAAATCAACATCTCTAAATCAATTTATGATAATCTATAACGCTGTATGAAACATTGAAACTATAAATCTTATTCATATATCACCATTTACTCCTACCAAGCTTTAATACAGAGTTTAGAATAACATATTTATTCAAGTTTTGGGAGTAATATGAAGTAAGACCAGGATTTTTAACATATTTATGAACATCTCTGTAAACAAGTTCTATAAACAGTAAACTCAATCATATTTCCAAACTCGTTGCTAAAGATTTGTTAGCACAAAGAAACTGTTCTATAAACTCAATCTCAGCTCTATTGAAGCAACAGGTAAACTCAATCGCATGTTCAATCTCAGCTCTATTGAAGCAACAGGTTCGATTTGTGAACAGACTTGCGTCTTCAATGTTTAACAGAAAAAATCGAGTTTGTGAACAGACTTGCGTCTTCACTGTGAAGCAACAGGTTCGAGTATATACTTCATCACAAATCAATTGATTAACAACTTAAATCGACGAACAATAGACTAAATCGAAATTTGACAGCATAAATCAAGTTTGAAACACTAACCTGTGTAGATTAGGCGGACTGCTGTCGGAACAAGGAAGACAGCGACTCTAACAGCCACGATGGCGAAGTTCACAGATTCCGGCTGTAAGGACGATGGCGAGGGCGAGCTTCCACTTCTCCGATTTCAATTTTGAGTCGAGAGAGAAACCATAGAAAACTTGTTCACAGGGACGGGAACGAGTGAAGTGGGAATGAGCGAAGGTGAGAACGAACCCTAGTAAAAAGTTTTCAGTTTTTACAATTTTTCCCTTAATCTTTTTTGAAAATCCGTTGACTGAAGTTGACCAACAAACCGCCTAGCTCCGATTACCTCCGATTATATCCGATTAGTTCCGAGTTTGACCGTCGTTGACCAACCCCGATTACCTTGAGCGATTACACATAAACGTGGTCGGTTGCAGTCCGCCTAGCGCCTAGGAGCCGATTAATCGGCCGCCTAGGCCGATTTTTACAACACTGATTCTATGGTATTGGCAGAAGGTTAGACAGGGCTGAAAGCCTGAAATCTACCAAAATGTTTAATCAGAAAGTGTATGTCTTCTGTGCCATTTGGGCCGAAGCTTTATTGGTGTATATCAAGTATAGAAATTGTCATGTCTCATTGATCGTATATCTTTGAATCAAATCATTGATTGATATGGAAAGTTTGTCTCATGATTCATATATGTCTTTGTTGTTCATTGTTCCTCTTTGCTTCTGCCATATTGAAGTATATATATGGCATAACGTTATATTATATCTATTATTGAACTCACTAAGCGTCACCGCTTACCCTCTCAATGTTTAACAAATTTGCAGGAGATAAGTAACCAGTATGGTTATATACTATCGGAAGATGTAGAATAGTTTTTACTATTACTTTTGTATTTCGGTTTATGTTTGTATAAAATTACAATATCCTAGGTAGTTATGTAAAATATTAAAACATAGTCGGTTTGTATCCAATCTTTTGTAATGACTTTATCAATGTAAAATATTGTTTTATAAATATGCATGTAGCATGTTTTGGAGTAACAATTGTCAAGTATGAAAGTTTGGGTCTCTCAGAAATATAAAAGTTTAGAAAGGGGTTCTTTCATAAACCTCAAAAATATGTCGTTTTAACTTGGTAAATATACCCGGTATGGTTTCACTTGGTAAATATATCATCCTCGAGAACATTTCTTTCTTTCATTATCATTTTACCATCTCTGTTTTCTTTCCTCCATTATCGTTTATTATTTCACCCAAGTGAACATTACTTTTTTCCACTGTCACGAAGGACAAAGATAATCAATATTCTTGCTTCCTTATCAAAACCCTAAACCCTAAACCCTATTGTGTCGATCTTGAATTTACATCTTCAAGTATTAATCGTGAATCCACTAACCGTAATCTTTATATAGTAAAACAATGTATTTTCAAGAGGTTTAGTACCTAAGCTTAGGTGGGGCTGTAATGTATATTCTCTTTTCCCATATATATATATATATATATATATATATATATATATATATATATATATATATATATATATATAAGGAAAGTGAATATACCAAGATATATAAGGTTAGGTACCCAAACTCACCTTAATACGTCGTTTTGTTTGGTATATTCATTATAATATTCTTAAACTTCAACCCCTAACTTGATTTACTTTCAAGATTTTCAAAATTCCACTATTATCTTCCTCTTACATCACATTTTTTTTGCCGAACACCTACTAGGCTATATATATTCTAGTTAAAAATGAATTTTATGTAAAAGGAAGATAAATGTGAAATTTATAAAAATGTAGGAAGTAAATCAAGTTAGAAGTTGAATTATAAGAACATTTGACAATTACAATGTATATATATGATACATAACGACGTAGTATGGTGACTTTGGGTACCTAAGTTTATATACCCTTAAGGGTATATTCACTTTTCCCTATATGGAAAAGTGAATATACCTAACAACCTTATATAAGCTTAGGTACTTAACTCTTAAAACTACGTTTTTTGATTCTTATTAAAATTTCCTCTTTGTTATTTGCAACGTATCTTCTTAATATTTGATTTCCTTATTCATGTCTCATTTATCTAATTTGCAACTTAAAACTAAATTGTAATTTCCTGACTAAAATAAATTGAATTATACAATTCTCCTTTATACATAATTAGCTTCTTTTCAATGAACCGCATTAATCGGAGTCTTCTAACATTCAAATCAATATATTCAGTATTTATTTTAATAATAATCAATTCACTGAAAATAAAATAATTATGTGAACAAAAACTTAAAAAGAATCCTAAGATTGATGGACCAAATTTTTACAAAATATTTTTTCTACGCCTTTTCCTAAAGCACTTATTTTTTTAAAATTTTGAATACGAGGGAATCTTAAAGATGTTAACACAAACATATACCCTAAATTACGTAGTAAATCTTGATTGGTTCACAATCAATCTTACATGCACACAACAGATAGTTAGAACACAATCAAATAACCATATATATATATATATATATATATATATATATATATATATATATATATATATATATATATATATATATATATATATATATATATAGGGAAGGTTTATTTGGAAAACAAAAAAACTCCAAAATCATAAAAATGCATAAAACAATACCTAGAGATCACAAAACTTTGTTTTGACATTTTTTATGAAAAAATCGCAGGTTTTTAAAGAAATTCGCTGAAAAAAAATTTGAAAAAAAAACTTTTTTTTTATAAAAAAGATGATTTTTTATTTTTTTTCAGCGGATTTTAATAAAAAGCTGCGATTTTTTATAAAAAAATTCAAAAAAAAAGTTTTGTGATCTCTAAGTATTTTTTTATGCATTTTTATGATTTTTAGGGTTTTTTATTTCCATAGAACCTAAACCTATATATATATATATATATATATATATATATATATATAATATATATATATATATCCTTATACTAATACAAGAATAGTTTTAATCTCTTTTTGCTATGTGTTACTCTAATACAACATCTCATTAATATTATGTCATGTGTCAGTCAGATATATTAGGTAAATCACAATCATAATTAATGACTTTAAGGTTTTAAATAATAGATTTTAATTGTTTTATAGAAACATTTACTTTTTGAAAGTATATGTTAAATTTGAAGTTATAACTAACTTTAAAACTTTGGTATATCTTTTAACTAATAATTTTTTTATAGTTATTTCTTTAAAATAATTGTTTAATAATTATAAAATTTTACTATGAAAATTTAATTAATTTTGTAACCGTGGTTCCCATGTGTTATAAAGTAGTATATAATATATATATATATATATATATATATAGATATATATATATATATATATATAGGGTTAGGTTCATATGAATTGAGTATATTAAGCTGTTAATTTTTTTACGAATTTTATTTTTGCTTCTAAAATATAAGATTAAAGAAGTATTATATATAGATTTTATTTTCTCTAATTTTGAATAACATGTAAAATTCAAATTGTGAATATTATATAAATTAAAATTTGAAAGAAACACTACACATATCTGAAGGTGTAAATATAAGTATTAAGTACAAAATATGGATGTGAATGTATAGTTTTTATGTATTAAACTGTGAATTTAATATATTAAGCTGTTAATTTTGTGTATTAAATTGTGAATTGACTGTATTAAGTTGTGAATTGATTGTATTAAATTGTATTTTTTTTATGAATTTTATGTTAAAATATGAATATTTATATTAGTTTTCTTATGAGTATTTTTTGTGAAGTAAATATGTAAGAATGTTTAGTTTTTATAATTGTTGCGTTAAACTCTAAATTAGTGAATTAATATATTTATTAAACTATGAATATAGTATTTAAGCTAACAATGCATTATTTTATATACAGATTTGGTTTGAAATGAATGATAGTTACGACGTTGACATAGATGGTTGGTACTAGGGCTGCCAATTCTCGACATGACCCGCGACACGACACGAAATAAATGGGTTTGGGTTGAGTTTTTCAACCTGCCAACCCGCCAACCCTCCAACCAGTTTATTAAACGAGTCATATATGGGTTTCTCAATAAATAAACGGGTTGACCCGCCAACCTGTTTGTATTTTTAATAAAAAAAATTATTTTATTTTTAAATGTATTTATGTATCAAGTATTAATATTTAATAAGTATTATATAATATATACCATTGATTGATAGACCATTTGACTGTTTTGACATTTTGACTCGTGGTGGATGGCCTAAGGTCGTAAGTCGTAACTTGTAAGCCTAAGTCTGTAACCATTTTGTCCATTTGCCCTAAATAATAATCTCAAAATCAAATCGTGTATGAGCGTATGTCCCTCTTCCAGACTTCCAATCTCCCGGTCTCCCACAGTCTCACTCTCCCCTTTGTTACTCTGTGATCGAAA